ACCCATGATGATCAAATACTGACTTCTTAAAATATAAAAAAATAAGAACTTTCTTTTTAACGATAAAATGATTATAAAAATTGTATATTTAGTAGCGTTACCACACTAATCTATTATTATGTGTTAATATTAACGAAAACAAAGTAATTTAACAAATATCTTCAGGAATAACACACATTCTAACAAGAATTTACAGTTGTTTTGTAAGACGCAAGAAGACAAGCGCATTGGTTATTCACACACTCAACTTTGTAATTTGTCAGTACTATAACCACTCTTATCATTGTTTCCAATGTAGCAAAAAGCTATTACAACTTAAAGAATCGCATTTGAAATTTATTGTATTTTTATAGCGCATTGACGGAAGTTTTTTATGACACTTTTTATCGGAGACGTAAAATGTCTAATTTTTCGTATTCTTTGTTCTAGCCACATGTTTTATTAATGATGAAAATCAAATCATATATTCTCAATTGAAAACAAACTCAAAAATAATAAAATCGATGTTCACCACTGAGCTTTTGTCGTACTTGGAAGTAGATACATAGAACTGTATTATCGAATATCTATATAAAAGAGTACTGTCTATAATTTACGCGAACAGTACGCAATTAAATAAAACACTTTAACGGTTTAAAAAAGCGATGAAAATGATTTTTAACTTCGGCCCGACGTTTCGGATGCTTTGCAACAGCCGTGGTCACGGGGAGACATTTTCAAATAAGTTTAACTAATATATCGCTTTTTAAACCGTTAAAGTGTTTTATTTAAATATATAAAAGAGATCATAAAAATATATTCAATGACGGAATCAAACCCGTGATAGACGATGGTATACCAATAAGATGTTGTCTCCCTATTTTAAATGTTATTGAAATGAGCATTAGCAAATATTCAAATAAAGAACTGCATTATTCAAAAATAGAACCTCCTGATTTCTGAGCTCATTCTACTTTTAAATATTTATTGCATACACAAAATGTATCAAGACTACAAAATGGTCGAAACGTTCGATACAAAAAAGTCTCATAACTTCTATACAAAAGAACAAATCCACGTGACCTCAACATGGATCGGAACACAAAAGGTGTCTTGTTTTTCATATTGTCGTCACGGAATCTGAAATGCAGCCAAACTTTTTTCAAAGATACGAATTCATAGCTCTACGTACGCGCCGCGTTCAAGTTATCGCAATTGTATCAAACATTTTGCGTATAAAATGCATTTCGTTAGTTTAATATTAACAAAGAAAAACCGATAACGATAAAAAAACAAGTATCAAACGATAATACATTTGGGGTTATATTAAACTCGATCACCTCATCGTTAATACATACATCTCTTCTCTTCATTGTATTTGTTATACATAACAATGTTTGAAAATTTTGTAGGATAAAATAATAAACTTTGTATTATTTAAATAAAACACTATAACGGTTTAAAACACGATATATGTTAATTAAATTTGTTTGAAAATTATTTTTAACTATGGTCCGTCGCGTTTTACACCGTTAAACTGTTTTATTTCAATGTGCACTACTCGCGTAAACTATAGACAGTATTCAACCCTGTATTATTTATTTTAAAGACAAAAATTTTTACGAGACTAACAAGTGTAATCTATCTATATTACCTATTTAAGGAAACAAACGCACGTTATATCGTCGAACATTTCCTTCTATATAAATAATAATATAAGCTAATTATATTTATGATTCACTGTTACCGGAATATGGTTGACATGTTATTAATAAAAATGTCAAGCAAATGATAGAGAAATGTTCCGAATACGATGTTGATGACTCGCACTTTACGAGAACAATCAATTATAGGATTCGAATATCAATGCTATTTATAATAACGAAAATACCTGTATTTTGTTATGAGATCTGAGTCAACTATTTGAAATACTACTGCTTAACCGCTTTTGAATGCTTTGTCAAGCAGACGAGAGGTTCCGAGTTCAATTTCCGGGTAAAACTCGATAACGAAAGACTTTTCAGTAGATTTGATCATTTTAAAGTAACCTTTTTTTTAATAGGATGCTCTAGGTCGTTCTTTAATAAAAATGAAACTTCCATTGCATTATTTCTTTGAATTTAATAATAGGCACTCTGCGTTTGTATGTTGATAAATAAAGGGTTGAAAAATCACTAACTAGAGAAGTCATTAAATAAACTATGAATTCTACGAAAGCTCTAAGAATAAGCTCAAAACAAATAGCGTCTTCGAGACCGAGACGGGGTAGTCATATTTAAAATAATGAATGCGAAAACTATTGTACGGACATCAATATAGACGGAACAATACTAAATTCACTTTCAGGGAACAAACTAATGGTTAATATTGTTTTATTAGAATAAAAGAAATAATTACTTTCTCAATTAAATAATAAAAATAATGCTAATAAATTTTGCACATCTAATAACCCTTATGCAAGTTTAAGTACTGTCTGTTGTTTAAACGAGTAACATAACGATTAACACGTTTAACGGTTTAAAAATCGAAAATAAATTGAAAAAATGTTCGACTCGGGCAGGACTTAAACAAGCGTTCCTTAATCGCAAGTGTTAAGGTTGAAATTACATTGCGCGAGGTGCATGTATCAATAAGTTGAAAAAATTCGACGATGAGGTGTAGGACTCGGTAACTCAATTGGTAGAGCAACTGCACGGAACGCAGACAATGCCGGTTCAAGTCCTGTCCGAGTCGAAAAATTTTTCAATTTATTTTAGATTTTTTAATTATATACCGCTTTTATGTGCAATAACATGTAAAAAATAATAAAGTTTTCAAACGTTTAACGGTTTTAAAGGCGCCCCCCCTTTGTGACCGCGGCTACTACAAAGATTCATAAACATCAGGTCGCGGTAATATTAGTTAACCTTTCGCGTTGTAAACCGGTAAACGTGTTTTGTTTCGAAAATACAAATTTACCGAAAGGGACAACGGGTAAATCACATAATAAAAATTTTATCAACCTAATTTATATTATATTATATTATTATAACGAATTTCTCAACCTAAGTGCTGGGGCAACCCGTCATCACTAAGCCGTCAGCGATTGTAACCTGTGAATGCAATAGAATAAATATCGTAAGGCGCATAAAACGAACTGGAAAAGATAAATATGAAATTTTCTCGCCAGTGCTTGTCTATATCCTTCAATACTTTATTCACATGAAGTATTATTGAAAGAGATTTCTGCAGAACACTTTATAAGACACGTTATCCACCTTTGCGGAACTGTGGCGTGGGTTGCACAAGAACGTTTCAGCCGAGATCTGCTGCAATACCCGGGATAATCCCCGTTTCTAGAACTTGTGTACCTTTTTGCTGAAACACCACCTTGAGACGTGTTTTATTTAGATACATAACGATTATTCTGTCTCACAATAAAATAGAGTTTGCAGTACTTGTATAACATTTGATTTATATATCTTTAAAATGTATTCACGTCATCGTCTATTTTTTCAACATATAGATACATACCTCTATATATCTATTTATGAATATTTTTTATATGATCAATAAATGTTACGTTAGTGTCAAATATCAGTTTAGGAGTTTCAACTTGTTTAATATTCTTAGAAGTATATTTGAACACTAGTTGTGCTCGCGACTTTGAGCGCGTCCCGCCGTTCTTGCGAATTAATCTTAAAAGATAGTAATTTATTGGTCAACGACATTTTTAGATCATTTAAAGAGAAATCATTATTTCATACATATATTTTAGGTATCTTGAACCGTTTTTGCAGCGCACGCAATGTAAGCTCACACCACAACAACATATATAAATAATTTTTCCTGTCTTTTCCACATTTTCCACTGATTCTTCGCTTCGGTCGCAGCGTGATGTTATTTATATAGTTATCACAAGATTTTTAAATTTAAAAGAGTCGTTCCTGATATTAGCGCGTTTAAACAAACAAACAACTCTTCAGGCTTGTAATATTAATATAGATGTGTGTTATAAATAGAATAGGGCTTCCAAAAGATAGTTGCCTTTTTATTAAAGTTATCATTCATTATATAAACTATACTTTCGTTAGTTGATAAAATATTCTATTAAAATCATTACTCCATCAAAATTCAGAAGCTACCCAACAATTACATTTTTATATCCCAAGTTTTAAACTCCGGAGTAAAATCACGCGGTGGCAGAAAGAAGTCGTGATATTTTCAAGAAGTTAAACCCCAAGTTTAAGCCAGTTCGTTTCCAGTTTTTATTAACTTTAGTTATACATGGATTTCTTCGGGTCCTCTAGTGACAAAGCCCTGATACACTCTGGGGCACTTTCCTTTGAGTCCGCAAAAACTTCGAGAGGTCAGGCAGTCATAAATTGTGAACTCTCCTGATGTGTGGTTACAAGTTTACTGTAACTTGCCGACTTATGGACGTTCCCAAGTTCCAAATGGGTTTTGCATCTGTCTTTAATCTTTTTCCTTAAACTTTGAAAACAAGACTTACATAACCAAGTTTCAGTGTAATATTTACGAAATTAAATGTAGCAAATTGGAATTTGAATTCTTGAACGTCGCCTATTTTCTTGCGCACGACATTCCAATTATAGGGATAGTGTTCTTGACGTTTTAAATGACAGCCGAAAATATTGCGATATTAATTTAGAGCCGTCTTGTAAATAAATTAAGCTTTTAAAACCTTAGCGAATTTAGTTAAGTTGCGTAGAGTTTTGCACTTTATAAATCTGACGAAAATTGTATAGTTGTTTTAGACAGAAAAAGGATGTGACATAGACGAGATTTGAGCCACGATCGCCGCGTCTACTAGGGCTAAGGATACAAGATGTAAGGAGGTTTAATATTAATTTAAGCTAATTTGAGCTTAGCTTAATTACGTAAAAGTTATGAAATTATTAAACATAGCTTATACAATACATTAGTAACAAATTGGGTAATACTTTCCAGAGTGATTTCAGCTAATAGGAGCAAGCCAATGTGTAACTCTCGCTAAGTTTACGGAAACTCATCACTTGGTACTATGTAAGGCTGTCTGAATGCTGTATAAGTTTAATTAGAATTCCTACACGGTGGAGCGACCGCGGTCTTATCTGACAGATGAGTCTTGCAGCCAACTCCCGAAGAGGTGAGTCTCCACTGTCAGAGGCTGGCGAGGACAGGAAGCCTCGGTCTGTCAGAAAGGCCCGAACGCGAGCCAAAGTTAGACTCAAAATCTTTTGAGTGTTAAACGTCGTATATGAAAAGTACTCCGCTTCGTAAGGCGCGTACAGTGGAGACCCACTCATAACAGGAAGATGCCCTCTAATGAGAAAATAATGTTTGACATCAATAATATCCCGAAAAATGTAAAGTGCTCGCGAGTTTCGTTGAAATTGACGGTGATTGATTCTGGTACGAAGTTTCTTTCATTCGATAACCATAAATAAGTTTTTTTTTTTCATTCCTTTATTTTATACATATATTCGCCGGGAATGAAACCGTGCAGCGGTTTATTTTTGCCACGGATATAGTCACATAATTTTCGTATGATTTTAACATACATTGCGTTTTAAACCGTTGAAGTGTTTTATTTACATGTATACTTCTCGCGTAAACTACAGACAGTATACTTACTTCAATCTTAGGCTTATAACGATATTAAATATGAGATAACACTCGATAACCTATTATAACAATTGGGCCGAATTGCAAAATATAGATGTATACATAACTTAATTATATATGTACGTCAGGATCGACTCGTGCAACGTTCAATTTTCTTTTTACAGTTAAATTCGATGGATGGAACAGCGTCCCTCGTGGGACAGTCATCGCATTCAATACCTAAATTGGATCGAAATTTTCTCAGTTGCGATACGTCAAAGTCTGTTCCAATGGGAACGTTTGTGATCGACGGAACGAGCGTCGCCCGTTACATCACCGACGTACTCAAAAGCGTGACGAAGTGCTAATTTTGACGGACACGTTAGTCCAATGCTATCTATGGCAAACAATTCACATCGTGGTTTCGATTACTACATTGTTTACTATTCTAAAATTAAAATATTCTAATACTATCTATATAGTTTGAATTATCCCAGAAAACTTGATATTTATTGGGCGTTATGGGACGTCGCATTCGAAACGTCCGCGTTGGGCGGCATTTAAAATAATTTATGAAAAAGTTTATTTAATATATTTCGCATACCAGTTAAAAGTATTTTATTTAAATTTATTGAGCGATTGGAATATCAAAATACTGTCCAGGTCACAAACCACCATGGAAAGATGAAAATGCTTTGGTTAACGTTTTGGTAAGAATGTCGAAATGCACGTGTAAAGGCTGTAAAGTTGAATCGCGCTTTGGTTTCAGTCCGTGGATTTCCGAATATTCAAAGCCAATATGTTGATAGTATATCTTGTTTGGATGTTATATTGGCTAAGGTATTTTACCTTCAATCAAGACAGCCCCGTGCTTGTTTGTTTACAACTATCATGAAAAAATGACCTAGAACCAGTTATGTCCATTTATGGGCAGCCGTTGAATACTGATAACTAATGAATCCTAAAGTATTCAAGTATGTAGCATGATTTTAAATGTCAACCCTCGTCGACCTTCATTCAAGCACTCATAATGCCTGGCCAGACTCGAAAACCGCACTTTTCACAATAATATAAATAAAATATTTTTTTATGTCAAGGAGCTCTTTGCTTTGTGATTCCATGTCCAGTCACGCTTGTCCAGTTCACGTAAATACACGACGAAACGAATTTCGTTTGGGAATTCTGATGTAACATTCGTGAGTTATGGTATTTTAAATATTCTCCCTATCAGGAAACTTCAAACTTTAATATTTCTCACATGTTATTGTACATCATGGCATATGAATAAAAAATATATATATTTGAAAAAAATAACGACATGGCCGGGACTTGAACCGGCATCCACAGCGTTCTGTGTTGCTTCTCTAACCAACTGAACTACAATGTTAGGTTTTTATCAAAAATAATCTTTTTCATATTTGAAAACTTTAATATTTTCAGATGTTCTTACCCGAGTCGAAAATATTTTTCAATGTATTTTCGATTTTTAAATCTTTTTAATAATTAAGAAAGCAATATTTTTACAAAGTTTCATAGATCTAGAGAATTGTATTGAACCCTTGGTTTTCTTTTTTGTGTTGTATTATGTTCATACATGTGTTGATTCTGTAAAACGCTGAAGTTTCAGGCATTGGAAATCGGCGCCGACGCACACAATTATGCTTACCTTTCATTAAAGAACAACGGACATTTTGCAATAGAAAAGTCAATTGTTATATTTAACAAGGTCTCTTCAAATCAAATCAAATCTTCCTACCAATATTAATTTAATTATTCATAGTTTCGTAGATGTTGATTTGGATTTTGTTCACAGATTATAGTGAACTGTGAACTGAAAATATATAGAACGTGTTCTAAGTAAAGTCCTGAGTAAGTACAGTGAGATTTAATTACATTTAAAATGCGAACAAAAAATTACAAAACAAATCTCTAAAATACGGGAAGAAACAAAACCCATGTAATGCATTCGGGAATCCTAGTGGAGCTCGCAAAAACCGCGCGATATCTCTTTGCACGGTCTATCTCAACACCGAAGCGGATTGTGGAATTTATTTATATTTTACACCCTGAAATACTACATGAAATTTGCTTTAATGTCCTACTTTACTCTTGTAAAAGATTCATTTGGTGTTAAATTGGATTATCCTCTTGTACAGTTTTTAACTTACGGCTCTTTTGATACTTTATTTAAAACAAGTAATGCAAAAATGGTAATTATTCATTTACGTACGCTAGGCGAAAATACAATTATAACCATCAACCACTCTCAAATTAATGAAGCACCAAGTACAATAACGAATACAAAGAAATTCCCTATATATGATATTCAAATATTGGTTACTATGGAAGTTTAAAATTGCTAAATAAAATGTTTAATGTAACTACAACAACCATAGTAAAAGTGTATATTTATGCCAAATGAAATAAAAAAAAAACACAGTAATATACTAATATGGTTATATTTAAAATATACTCGCAAGAACAACAGGCCGCAGACAAAGACGTGGGTAAAAGCTATAATCACTACTTATTATTATAAATGCGAAAGTAACTCTGTCTGTCTGTCTGTTCGGCTTTCACGCCGAAACTACTTAACCGATTTAAATAAAATTTTGCACACAGATATTCTAGAGTCTAAGAAAGCACATAGGCTACTTTTTAATGTCAAAAAAGGGTTGTTAAGTTGTTGAAAAAGGGGATGAAAGTTTGTAAGGACATTCGTGATTTTTGAAGCTAGAACAATGAAACTTTCTTCTTTGGCTTTTTGAGAATGGGAATGAGAGTGGAAGTGAGAGTGGGAGTGAGTGTAGCAGTGGATGTGGGAGTTAGAGTGGGAGTGATGTGAGGTGAGAGTGGTGGTTTTGGCGGCAAAGTAACACTTACGACACAGATTGGCTGCCTTGAATGCGCCTTTTTCGATGACTTGCGTTGTAAAACCTTTTGCTGTACGAATAAAAGATAGTAAGGGGTATGAAAAGATATGTGGATGTGTCCTAATATTTTTATAGAACTTACTAATTCGATAATGCGAAAGCAACTATAAAAATGTACTCAAATAAGCATATAAAAATACACTATACTCCATGGATATACTTATTATGAATACCTTAATAAGCTCTTTGCAGTGAAACATTGTATCTTATTGTGTACACGTATTTTATTCAATTTGTAAAATAAACAGCCTAAATAATTATAACTTCTACCAAAGTTATTATTCCACTTAGACGAAGTCGCGGGCACAGCTAGTACTCGCCTAAAGCTAAGGAAGTTGGTTGCAAAAATAATAAAGCTAACGCACAAAATAAATTTTCAACATGGATGAAGTCACGGGCACAACTAATAAAGTAATCTTACGACCTTTATTTTCTGTACAGTTTATTGAATTGTAAATGTTAATAACACAACAAAGAGATTAGTTTCTATAATTTTGACATACTATCTCAACTAAGCCCGAAATCTCTTCCCCAAGGATCACGGTTCGCTAATAGGGTATCCCAATAATAACAATAAAAGATCTCGTAGCTTATCTCGATGGCATATTTGGAGGATATCCAAGCCATTTACCACAACGCGGCACAAATGCCACTTTGGACCCGAAAGCAAATGATGTGAAAACACAATATTTATGCGTGCCTAAAAGAGATGACGAATCTTTTAAACTTTCTAACGTTATAAACTGGTCTATATATAGTTGATCTATTCACAAAAGAACCAAATCATACGTAGATTAATGAACTATTGCCATATATATACTATTTATTAGCTAATAATTACTGGGTCGTAACTTCGATTTTCGGTGGAGCAAATATTTTTGAAATCAGTTCATATTTGTTTTCATAATTTTGAGATAAAGTGGGTGGTAGGAAAATCGAGTTGCTGCCCTGGCCACAAACCATATATAAAAAGCCGGAAATTTGTGTCAACAGAGCATCTTCTTTAAAACCATCTACCTTTAGATGTTTCACCTCAGCTGTATTGGTATATAGTTTCACTTGTTACCGTGTTATAGTGTCGTTAAATATATATATATATATATATATAGGTAAACTATGTATGTTTATGTAGCTATTTCTAAACTGGATAATCTAAAAGTCAGCTTCCTTATCTTTTGGCTGTGTACAAAAAAATCAAATCGCTATCTCCCTTAGGTTTTTCCATTCGCGACTCAGGTAGACGGATCTTAGGATAAATGATACAGCGGTGCTATTAGGAGGTCTCAGGTGATACGAAGGTAATAGTATAAAAGCGTTTGACGGAGGTCCATCATTCATCTCGGGATCCCATCTGTGAGCAATTCTCTATTCACCTAGTGCCCGATCGCGAACCAAATAAAAATAGAATACTTTAAATCTCGCCTGCCTGGGTCGTGTCCCTCGAGATTGAAAAACCTTCAGCCAAGATTAGCATATTAAAATTGCTATAGGTATCCATCACGCCGTTTACCCTTTACCAACGTAAGATACAACTGGATCCTTCCGAAAGATTTTTCGTAAAATTCAATTAAAACGGAAGCTATTTATGAGATTGATTTAGGTATTTTTTTCAATTATCTCTCAATTATAAGCACGCTTAAATTAGACTGACCACCCTGCTCCAGTGCGGTTGGGCTGTTTTTTATGGTAGAGGACGAACAAACATGGAGTTCACTTGATAATAGGTAAAATACCCTAGCCATATAACGCCTAAACAAGATGTGTTTTCC